GATATCCATATGTAGAGTTGCCTCTTGTGTTGTTGGAAAAGAGTGTTTGTGATGACCAGCTTATTCTCTTGACAAAACTCTGTTCACCTTTGCCCTGCTTCATTTTGAACTCCAAGGCCAAACTTACCTGTTGTTACTTTTATCTCTTGACTCCCTACTTTAGCATTCCAGCCCCCTAGAGTGAGAAGAACATCTTTCTTTGGTGTCAGTTCTAGAAGGTGTTGTAAGTCTTCACAGAACTGGTCAATCTCAGCCTCTTCAGCATGGGTGGCTGGTGCATAAACTTGTGTTACTGTGATGCTGAAAGGTCAGCCTTGGATTTGTATTGAAATCATTCTATCATTTTTGAGATTGTATCCCAGCATAGCTTTTCCCACTCTTTTGTTGACTATGAGGGCTACTCCATTTCTTCTACGGGATTCTTGCCCACAATAGTAGACATGATAATGGTCTGAATTTAATTCGCCCATTACCGTCCATTTTAGTTCACTGACGCCCAGGATGTCAATGTTTATTCTTGCCATCTCCTGTTTGACCACATCCAGCTTACCAAAGTTCGTAGATCTTCCATTCCAGGTTCCTATGCAGAATTCTTCTTTGCAGCATCAGACTTTCCTTTCACATCCAGGCGTGTCCGCAGGTATCCTTTCAGCCCTACTGTTTCACTAGCTCTGTAGCTACTTGTACTTTGCTCTTCCTCAGTAGCATGTTGGATGCCTTCTGACCTGAGGGGCCCACCTTCCAGTGTCATCTCTTTTAGCCTTTTGTTTCTGACCATGGGGCGTTCTTGGCAAAGATACTGGAATGGCATTGCGTTTAGTCTGAACTCTCCACTATGAACTGTCCGTCTTCGGTGTCCCTGCACAGCATAGCCCATAGCTTCTCTGAATTACTCAAGCCCCTTCGCCACGACAACGCAGCAATCTGTGAAGGGGATTTTCTGTCTACTCATGCCTTTTTCGCCAGAACACATTCTTATTAGTTTCTTCAAAGATACAGCTCCTCCTTCACAAGAAATGGAACCCAGTGCAAATCTCTGCTTGATACAGACAGATCGCTTCAATTATAACAAAATCTTCAGGGATGCTGCCAGGTCTTTGGGTCTGAGTCCCAAGTCCGAGTTTATAGTACCAAGTCCTGAATCCCAAGCCCCAAGTCCAAGCCCCTATTAAAAACAACCTCTTTTCCCCAGGAAAAAAAGGAAGGGGTGGGTGGGTTCTGAATCCTGAGTTGAGTTCAAGTCATTGGAGAAAAAGATAACCCTTAGTCAAGTTCAAGTCATGGCACATCACCGATGTGACTTCAGTCTGACATGACAGAGAGTCCCTCGAAACAAGTACTCATTCCTGAAAATCTGTAGTAATTATTTGTGCTAACATAGGTGCAGAGTGCATTTTCATAACTCACACTCATTTAAAACAAGAGGACACTTTTATGAATTTGCTGTCCACAGGAGAACTGGAGAATGAGAAAAATATTTAGAATAATTTGGTTCCACTAGCAAATACTAGCATGTTATTGTTGCCATACAATAATAGCAAGTGATGTAGCTCATGCAAAACAGAATGGAGAGGAACACGACACTTAGAAATT